TTTTTATTTTGAAAATAATAACGCAAACAACTTTTGTCGTTCCGTTCTTTTACAACAAATTTAGTACCATAATGGTAAAATTTATTTTGCGCTAATGTCGCAGCAAAAAAAGAAGCAATTAAGCTAACAATTAATAGACCAATTGTAAATTTAATGTTAAAGTAAAAAAGAAAAAGACTTAATAATTTATTTTCTTAAATATTTCAAATATATTTAAATTTAATATTTGAAATATTTATTGGAATAAATTTTGATATTTTTTATTTGTTACAATTCATTCATTCACTTTTTAAACAAAAAAAAAATTAAACTGAATTTTAATCATTTAAATAATTTTTTCTTTAAATTTATCATTCCATGCTTTTATTCTTTAATCATTTTAATTTGTATATTTATGTAAAAATTTTGGGTTTATTTGGTTTTTTTTAATTGTCTTTTAGATTAACGAAAAAAAAAATGAAAAAATCTTTTTTTTTCTTTTTCAATTTAAAAAAAAAGCAAACAAATAAGCATTCATTTAATTACAAAATTGCTTATTTAATTTTAATTAAATAAATATTTATTGATAAATTTTGTTTATTAATATGAAATGTTTACAATTATTTTTTGATTAAAACATTAAATTGTTATCAGATCTTACTGATTGATTGATTTATTTTTTCTATTATAATCAATTGTTATCGATCTACCATCCGATCTTATCTTACATCAATTATCATTTCATATCAAATGTTATTATTGTTTGCTTGCATTATTTGTCTAACAATGGAAATAATTTTTATTAGATTTATTGTAAATTAATTTTTAAAATTTTCATATAATTTATTAATTTTTATCTAATTCTGATTCTACCTTTTTTCTTTTTCTTTTTTTTTGAAATTAAAATTCATTTTTAAATTTATTAATTTTTTCTTTTTTTTACAGATTGTTAATAAATATTTATTAATGAATATGGTATTTCTGGAATTGATACCTGGTTAAAAAAAAAAAGGTGCATGCTGTATCAAATTTTTACGGAAAAGTTATGGAATTGCATTCATTACTATTTATTAGCTGCTATGTGATACTATTACAGGTTAGTAAATTTCTTTTTTCATTTCAAAAAAAAGAAGAAAAAGTTTTACAAATTTTTGTAAGAGTTGTTAAGATTTATTTGTTTTATAATTTAGCATATTTTTTTTTAATTAAATTAAAAATCCATTTATAAAGTTCCTTTTTTCCTTTTTTTCCGCTATTTTTATTGATAAAATTAATGATAATATTAATGATAATGCTATTCTTAGTGATAAAATTAATAGTAATGTTATTCTTGTTGATAAAATTAGTGATAATATTCCTATTGGATTATTGGAATGATCAAAATTATTTGATTATTTAATATCATTAGGAAAATTTAAATTTGATTCGCATTTCGATACTATCTATCGGTATGAAATAACAATGATAGGAAAGAATTTTGAAATGATTTAGTTGTATTAATTTGAAATAATTAAATGATTGATAATTTCATGTTGAATTAAGTTTTTTTTTAAAAAAAAAGAGAAAAAAATGAATTTTTACTTATACATGCAAAATTTAACTAATCAAGTAATACAATTATCATTTCATAAGTTTATTTCAAGTATTTAAATTTAAGCATTTATTTGGCAAAAGATTTATCATTTATTTCACATCTTTAACTATTCCTTTCTATTATAACGCTTATATTTTTAAAATATTCCAATTTTTATTTCAATTTCCTTTTTTCTTTTCTTCCAATTTTGCTCCAATTCCATTAGCCTACTTTTCTTTCTTTTTTTTTTTTTTTTATTAACATTTAGCTAACAAATGTCAAACGTTTAATGTTTTGCCATAAAATGATTGCTTTTATTCGAAATGAAATTTAATTATCAACCTATACCACATACATTATCATTAACTCTTACATTTCAAAAAACTTTTTATCGAATAATGTCAAAATTTATTAGCAATAAAGAGAGAGAAAGAAAAAAAAAAGTATTTTTTCAGAGTTATGCATTCTCCGACAAAATATTGGGGAAACGTGAAATTTCAAGCCTTTCAAATATTGCCAAATTTAATGTTAGTTAATTAAGTTTTATTTTAAATTTATTTTAAAATTAATTTAATTGATTATTTTAAATTAATTTAATTTTAAATTCCAAAATTTCTTTTTTTTTCATTCTTATCCCCTTTTTCTCACCTATTTTTGTCATTTCCAATTTATCATATAGGGTATGATTTTTACAATGATGATAATGTTACTGATAAAAGATTAAATTCTTCTTTCAAATTTTTTTTTTTTGTTGGGAAAGAAAAATAATAAATTTTTAATTTTTGTTTATGATTTCATAATATTAGAATTTTGAATAAATTATTCATAAATGGTTAAAAAATTATCATCTATTATTTATAGTTTTACAAATTAATTTTAATCATTCCAAAATTTTGAGTTAATTTTTTTTTTTTAAGGAAGTTGAAGGTAGCGGTATTCCACCATTATTAACAAACAAGCAGAAAATTGATGGAGCAGGAGTGGATATAGAATGGGATGGATCAGGTATAAGTCCGGATGATGAAGATGGTGATGTTGTTGAAGGTTCTGGAGCTGAAATCGGTTCATATTTAATTATATCATTAAAAATTATGGAGTAAAATATTAGTGATAAGATAAATTTTCTACACTTATCATATCATTGATAATATCTAAAAAAAAATATTCAAAAAATTAAACTTCGTTCTCAATTGTCTACTATTAAATTATCATTCCCTTCTTTTTCTCCTAAACCAATAGTTTTCAATTGAGCAAGAAATGAGAATTAAAATATAATCCGGGAGGATGATGATAATATGATCCGAGAGATTGCTGATATGATGATTAGAAAATAATCAGGCGAAGAGTGGAAGAGAGTATTCTTATCAATGTTTGATAAAGTAATGTGATGAAATTTTTGATTAAAGATTATTTCGAATTAATAAATTTCATTATTTTTAAATCTTATGATTTCTGCTACAAATAAAGAAACACGCAAAATGGCCATTGGTCAGCAAAAAAAAAAAATTAGGAATCAGAAAGTCATACTTTAATAATTATTTGCAAATTAGATGTCCTTTTTTCTTCTTTTCCTGTACAATTTTTCGGTTTAATTTACAGTAATAGTTATAATCTTTAATTAATTAATTATTCACTTAATTCTATCGACACTAATTAGCATCATTTATTTTGCTAATTTATTTCTTTCTACATCGCTCTCTCTTAATAATTAATTTAAAAATAGCAAAATGAATATGTAAAATTTTTTTTTCTTTCTGCAAATAATTAAAATTATTTCTGCTTCCTTAACATATATCATTTTATTTTAATTCAACATTTACTCATTTACTTAATTAATTAATTTGTTAATTTAATTTATCGTTTTTTTCTTTTCCCTTCCATTCATTATTCATATCATTAGTAATCGTATCAATTTTTATGCCAACAAATAATCATACTGTACATTTGTATGATTTTTTTAAATAATCAATTATTCCGGCTAATTTAGAATGAAAAAAAAATGAGAGAGAGGGAGAGAGAAAGAGAAAGAGAAAATGGCAAAAAAAAAGAAAAAAAAACAATTTAAAAGTTTATGTGATCAAAAAGGACAAAGAAAAAGAAAAAAAAAAGATCGTTTGGTTTATTTCTTCATTTAATTTTTTTCCTTTTTTTTTTTCGTTTTTACTAATTCTTATGTACCCATCCTTTTATTTTATAGCTAATGCATTTTGATTAATTAATAAAAATCTCAG